CACATCCAACAACGCCACCATCAAACCCGCCCCGCAGGCCAGAGTACTTGGTGTCATTCTGGACTCCAACCTATCCTTCCAGCCCCAAGTCCAATCTTTAACAAACTCATGCAGACTCCACCTCCGCAACATCGCCAAAATCCGCACGTTCCTTACCCCAGAAACCACTAAACAGCTCATCCACTCCCTCATCATATCACGACTCGACTACTGCAACTCCCTCCTTACTGGCCTGCCTCGCCGCTGGGTATCCCCGCTTCAGTCGATCCTGAATATGGCAGCCAGACTCATTCACCTTTCCAACCACTCCATCTCCACCACCCCCCTCTGCCAATCCCTCCACTGGCTTCCAATTGCGCAACGGATCAAATTCAAAATCCTAACACTGACGTACAAAGCCGTGCACCATACTGCCCCGAATTACATTACTGACCTAATATCCAAGTACCACCCAACACGCACACTCCGCTCCTCACAAGACCTCCTTCTCACTAGTCCCCTGGTCTCCTCCTCCCATGCCTGCCTCCAGGACTTCTCCAGGGTGTCACCCATCCTCTGGAACTCCCTGTCCCAACCCATCAGATTATCACCTACTCTCCTCTCCTTTAGGCGCACCCTGAAAACCCATCTCTTCAGGGAAGCCTACCCCACCCCCTGCTAACTTGCCGACCTCCTCCACTCTTCCTACCACTCCATCCCCCACAGCTATCTCCTCCTGTGCCACCATCCCCTCCCTCCTAGATTGTAAGCTCGAAAGAGCAGGGCCCTCAATCCCCTCATGGTTTGCATTGTATTGTTTTTGTTCTGTCACATGTTCTGTCCCCCTTTGTAATGTACAGCGCTGAGCGAACTATTGGCACTTTATAAATACTGTATAATAATAATAATAATATATGGGCCCATCTATACTAGACTTCCATCAGAGAGCTGAGCCAATTTTCACTTCTAACCTAGTGCTATCACAAACACATGTGATAAAGAAAGGAAACCCTAGTACAGCATGATAAACAGACATTTTTTTTTTTTAAATCTGTGATGATGACAGTGTCAAGGTCCTACCTTTTCCAGAGACTGTGCGGCTTCATGTACTGGCGTCCATCTTGGGTTTCTGCAGAGCATGGTGGGAGTCTTTTATGCCTTCAGGTCTCTGAGGTCCATCCCCCAGAGGGGTGTGGCTGAGTACATATAAGCCTGTGATCCGCACATGCTCTTTGCACTTGTGTCTTGTGTCTTTGTGTCGCTACAGCTCTGTGTATACTCTCGTGACTCTTTTGGTATCTGACTCGGCTTGTGACTAGACCCTTCTCTGTGTTTTCCGTTGATCTGACCTTCCGTTGCTGAACCCGGCCCGTGAGCTGTGATTCTTGTCTACTGTTTTGTACCGTTTTGTCCCGTTGTTGTCGACCCGGCCTGCCTGACTACGCTATTGTCATTTCCTACCAGCTACACGCCATTGGCAGCGGCCATTACCTCAGCCGGGGTGTCTCAGGGGCCGCGACCTGGTTCCTGGCTGCGTCAAGTCCATCCCCACCATCAGGGGCCCTGGTGAAGGGCAGCCTGGGACTTAGACTCTGCGCCCTGAGGGACTTTGGTCTGTTGGTGGTGGTTGTCAGTCAGTGCGTTACCCTGCCACTAGGCCTACCTGTCCGTTCCACAGCCCTGCCCTGACAGGCAGCCCATATCAGATCATCCAAAACAAACCACATTGCTCCAGACCCCTTTCCACTGCCAGCACAGGAGCCCATTCATGCTCACAATCCCAAGGCAATAATTTAATACAAACCACACACAGATATGTCAACTCCTCTAAATGACTTTATTCAACTACAAATGGCACGACAACATGCCAGATGTCCCTTCCCAGGGACCGCCTTTCCTCGACGCATTTCACCATAATATATTTAAGCCCGTCATGCTGTTTGTGGTTCAGTAAAGTCTCTTGGAGGACGTGGCATATTGGTATGTGAGTTGTGTTATGTCGTTGCAATGGCAGACCATGTATTTTGCTAGGTACCACTTGCCTTTAGATAAAGCCTGTTATCTCTCTCTCAAGAGGTTTCTCTGTAATAAACACAAAGGAAACTGAAACATTAGTAAGTTGGGTGTAAAATAGTCTGTAAGGATGACATATGATGGGAGCTTTTCAATTAAACGCTAAGCTTCTAAGTGACAAAAAGTTATTATCTGCCGCTAATGCGTGTGCTTTATTAACTTTTATGAAGACATTGATAAATGGAGGAAACATTGCGGTTCGGGAGTCTGGTTTTTTGCAGGGAGTACAGAGAGTCCTGAAAACATTTTAACAAGTCGAAGCCGAGATGTTCTCCCAGTGTTTATGCTTTGTTTACATCCATTAAAATCCCAGTTCTGTCCCTTCTATAGACATTTCCACCCAAGACGCCTGATTTGTGGGGTCAGAGCCGCTGTTATTATCTGTAATTCATGTCAGTGATTTGGCCGCATGAGTGCAGCTCCTGTAACCTACAAATGCTCTTGGTGTTTGATGCATAGTACAGACATTTTCAAACTGACATAATGGCATGTGCAGCATTTAGTTGGTATTATTATTAAAGTGTAGGAGAAAGAAATGCCCATAGGAAAAAAGAGAGAAGAAATGGCGCAGGGCATACATGACTAGGCCCAGAGTGGGGAAGGAGGAACAGAAAGGGTTAAGGCAGATCCAAGGGGTTTGTTTTGATAGTGGGGGTATTTGGTTGGTGGAAGGTTGAGAGTAGGTGGGGTTTCCTGAACCTTAGGGTGGGGGGTTTCAGTGAGGGGGCGTCAGTTGAGCTGGAAGTCAGGAGTGAGAGCTTCCCTCCCGCCCTCCCCTTTTTTTGGTGAGTATTGGGTCCCTCCAGGTAAAGGGGGGTTATGTTGGTTCCTGGGTGGTTGTTGGTCTTTGGAGGCGTTTCTTATCTTGGAAGGTAAAAACAATGGTGTGGGACCCATCGGTGGTATGGGACATTCCCAGTTAACCAAGGTTTACCTGGAAGGTGGTGGTGCTGCACTGCGGGCGGTATGGTTGTCTCCGAGCTGGTTGGTTGCGGCTGGAGGCCTAGTGTATATGGTTGTCCGCAGGTGCATTTCGGATTTATTGGGGGTGCCTTCGAAGACCAACAACAATTCTTTGGGTTTCTGTTATAAGGAATGGTTGGTGTATTTAAATTTGTGTTGTTAATAAAAGGCCATGTTGGCCATTTACTCTAAAATTGGTGTCATGTGTTTTGTAAGTATAATTGGTTAAGGGGAAAGGGGGGTTTGTACGGAACAGTCATGGTGGTAATGGGGAGCGGACAAGCCTATCTCTGCAATAGTCAAGCATTTTTTTGTTTGGGAGTGGGGTATAGTAGGGAAGGGTAAGAACCTTTTATAAAGTTTTTACTCCTTTCTGTGTCTCCACTGGGGTGCATTCACCCCTCTATTTATCCTGGTGGTCACCAGAGCAAGAGGTGAGGGGAAAACCCCCAATGAGGACGCCTGTTCTCATAACAACTATCAAAGGTGGAAATTCCATTAACTTTAAAGGGATTTCCTCTCATTTCCTCTTACATGTCCAGGATGGGGAATGAAGGAACATCAACCAGAGGGAAACCTTCACGGGCCGGTGGGCTTTGGGTATCGTGATGGATGTGGATCTCCATCACCGGACAACATGTTTTTGACGACGGATGTACATCATTGGATTTTTTTTTTCTACTGAAAGGGCTACTGTTTCTGTGTTTTTTTATTTACACTTTACAATTTGTGTGAATGAGTAGGAGTACTATGGGAATGGAGTTATCTGGGTGCCCCATTGTTGCTTCCATGTTTCGATATGCCCCAGAAGGAAGGTTGTTTCCCATTGCTGGTGCCAGCGGGAGGAGGGTTGTGTCCTATCTTTGGTGTCAGTAGGAAGAAGACTGGTGGCAGTGGCATGAAGATTGTGTCCCATCAATTGCGAGAGAATATCTGAATGATTCATTTAGTCAGCTATACTGATCGTTTAATAATTCGATGAACCGCAGTGCCTCCAATACAAAAATAATTTATACAAATTAATTTAAGCTGACTTAGTTATTTTACCATGCAGAAATCCTTTGAATAAAACCGTAAGATAAGATGTAGGTATGGACTGAGACTATCAAAAAGAAATTAATGTGATTTTACCTAAAAACATAAAATATCATGGATATTAATTTGTGGTAGTAGTAATTAAATGGAAAAATGAATTATAAAGAGGTGGGGGTTCATACATATCAGGCCATAATTCAAATATTGATGATACACAAGAAAAAAAAATTTTCTTCATACTTAAACTACTATTTGATTATGGCTACATTATAACACACACATTTCTAAGAACAATGATAAAGACTACAAACGCAAATATAATGTGATTATAACTTCCCTTTTAGATAATGATATTTCGTCCTGGATATACAGAATATATACGTCTGGATGTGTCTTTGTATTTAAAGTGTTACTAAACCCCCAACACTAAAATCAGTCTGTATATGCAGTAAAGCATGCTTGTTACACTCACTGTGGAACCTAAGGGGCTAATACTCTGCATTGTGTAAAAAAAGACTGTTTGTTTGATTCTGACTTCTCTGATCCTCCCCTTCTTCTTCCAGTGTTCCCTCTCCTGACTAGAGAGGTTTTTTATTTCTTGGGAGAATGCATGTGATCAGTGAGGGGCAAATCAGCTCTGTCCGGACAGAGGTCAGGGGTCCTGCATCCTCCTAGAGCACAATGAAAACTCCTCCTACAAGCTTTAACATGTGCTCTGCTGGACACTGATAGAAGGCACAAGCCTGCTATATACTGCTGACGAAAAAAGGTATTTAGCAGTTTATATTTACTAAAATAATTGCACTTCCATGTTGTGTGTACTGTGAGAGACCAGATATAGTGAATGCAGGGTCTGGGGAGAGCGGATATAGTGAATGCAAGGTCCGGGGAGACCAGATATAGTGAATGCAGGGTCCGGGGAGACCGGATATAGTGAATGCAGGGTCCGGGGAGAGCGGATATAGTGAATGCAGGGTCCGGGGAGAGCGGATATATTGAATGCAGGGTTCGGGGAGACCAGATATAGTGAATGCAGGGTCCGGGGGGAGACCAGATATAGTGAATGCAGGGTCCGGGGGGAGACAGATATAGTGAATGCAGGGTCCGGGGAGACTGGATATAGTGAATGCAGGGTCCGGGGAGACTGGATATAGTGAATGCAGGGTCCGGGGAGACCAGATATAGTGAATGCAGGGTCCGGGGAGAGCGGATATAGTGAATGCAGGGTCCGGGGAGACTGGATATAGTGAATGCAGGGTCCGGGGAGACCAGATATAGTGAATGCAGGGTCCGGGGAGAGCGGATATAGTGAATGCAGGGTCCGGGGAGACCAGATATAGTGAAAGCAGGGTCCTGGGTTTAGTAACGCTTTAAATTTATTTTAGTCTTTTCCTAAAATGAATTTCCCACTGGCCCCGAACCCGTGCGTACCGACGATCACAGGGAACGGAACCCGGAAGACCCGGAAGACAGATGCCGACATCGGCCGTAGGACACAGTGGGAGGACAAGGTAGGATCGAGGGGAAAGCAGGAGAAGCACTATGGAGTAACCAGTGTGGCTCGGGCTTACAACTTTTGGTACTGAAAATTAACCCCGAGCCACACTCTGGATTACCGCTAGGTAGGTTAAAGCCCCTTTCTTCTCCATTTTGATGCTTGGCTTGAACTTCAGAAAGTTGTCTTCACAACGTCTAGATTCCTAAAAGCATTGAGTTGCTGCCATGTGATTGGCTAATTAGCAATTTGTGCTACCAAACAATTGAACAGATCTACCTAATAAAGTGGCTGGTGAGTGTAGATGCTGTGTACAAGTTGTTTCATTCATTTGGAGGGTCAATTTTCTCCATTGTTCATTGCTTCAGACGTCACCATTTAATGGATCTGTATACAATCTTGCTTGCAGATCAAATTTTCCAAAATGTCAAGCCAATTTGTCTGTGATATAATTCTGACAACCTTAACGAGATCCTTTAATATTTCGTACCTACAGTATCCACAACTTAGACCAGTTGGAATTAAACTTAGAAATCCTATGTCATATTTTTAATTCACAGATGCTCTGACACAATGGTGTCAGTGGGTGGAAGGATGTATCCCATCATTGGAGTCAATAAGTGGAAGGTTGTGTCCCCACATATTTGTTAGTGGGAAGAAGGTTGTGTCTCCTTATTAATGTCAGTGGGTGGAAGGATGTATCCCATCATTGGAGTCAATAAGTGGAAGGTTGTGTCCCCACATATTTGTTAGTGGGAAGAAGGTTGTGTCTCCTTATTAATGTCAGTGGGTGGAAGGATGTATCCCATCATTGGAGTCAATAAGTGGAAGGTTGTGTTCCCACATATTTATTAGTGGGAAGAAGGTTGTGTCTCCTTATTAATGTCAGTGGGTGGAAGGATGTATCCCATCATTGGAGTCAAGTGGAAGGTTGTGTCCTCACATATTTGTTAGTGGGAAGAAGGTTGTGTCTCCTTATTAATGTCAGTGGGTGGAAGGATGTGTCCCATCATTGGAGTCAATAGGTTGTAGGTTGTGTCTCTACATATTTGTTGGTGGGAAGAAGGTTGTGTCTCCTTATTAATGTCAGTGGGTGGAAGGATGTATCCCATCATTGGAGTCAATAAGTGGAAGGTTGTGTTCCCACATATTTATTAGTGGGAAGAAGGTTGTGTCTCCTTATCAATGTCAGTGGGTGGACATTGTGTCCCATTGGGAAATGCACTACTCTTTTTCTGGTGTTTGTGGTTGACAGAATTCCCATTTGTGCTCAACAGGTACTTACCGAAAAAAGCTGTTCTATGTCTTGTGCCTCCCGCAGAAAAATAACTCTGGTACCAGAACTACACAGCTCCTACTGGCCAGAAAATCACACTGCCCACCAATGTTAGAGTAGAAACTGGGCATTCCCAGAAACCCAGCATCTCCTTGTCCTACCCCAGCCACATCCTAAGTGGCCAATCTAAGAGAACTATATGCCATGCTCACCATGCTGCCTTTCCCAGTCTTATAGAAATCTCTCCCTCTTGGATGTTGCCAACATAAAGGGTGACATCCAGTCGTGTATTTTAGGTTTTGTGCTGCCCTACGCAACACAAAAATCGCACCCTCCCTCCCTGCACAGAGAGCCTGACATTGACCAACAACACCCCTGCCTGCGACCCGAGAGAGCATTCCACTACCACTGCCCCCCCAATACACCAGCCACCATCCCCCATGGCAAGAGAGAGAGAGACACTCACCTTCACAGCTCCCGACATCCCCGGGAACGAGAGTCAGGCTGTGCATCCACCGTCATGAAACCCGCAGCCTATCTCAAAACCCACCAGGTCCCCATGCTGTGTGTGTCCCTTCTTCCAAGGGACAGTGCTACCCCCCCTCCCCCCCCTGAAAAATTCCACCCTAGGCAAATGCCTTGTTTTCCTTGTGGTAAATACACCCCTGGTAACATCACCTATTCCTCAAATGCCGTCACTAAAACATGCACAAGCAGCGCTATCCTGAGTGAGTGCCAACAGTACAACGTATCTCTGGAACACCTGGAATTATGCAATACAGTTGAAAAGGGATAAGTGAAACTGACCAAATTTCAGCGATATTTAGTTATTGACGACATCAAGATGCTTGGAAACCATCACTTTTTGGAGTGTCCATCTCCTTTGTCTTCTGTGGTTCCTACAGGTAAATACCTGATACATCAGCAGTGACTTGAAGGTCAACTGGAGGAACCAAACGAGAGCTGCTGAGATCAGGACTCATGGAAGTTTCCTATTGGATTTCATGGGGCCATTACTCAGCAACAGAGTGTCATTCAGCAGTGTAGGTGGCTTTAGAGATAAGTATGTATGTTTTTCTTTTACAGGTAGACCCGATCTTGAAAACTTTTGGAAAGTTGCAGAGTCACGCTAAAAACTATGAACACCTATCTTATTTTCTAAAAATATTTTACTTAGGAAGAGGATTTAGTTGTTATTATTATGACATATCTGTACTGACAAACACATTGTTCTTTTTTTCCGTTGGGTCCCCACTTCCCCGTGAATTTATAAATATGGGCTGTCAAGAAAAAAAAATTGAAAAACCCTGCCCCGTAAAATCCTTCTTCTATCAGCTTTGAAACATAATGACTATTATCTCTGGTAAAGGTTAAATTTGCCGTAACAGACCGACTTAATTAGGTTTCACGTGGCAGAAGTTTTGACGGGTTCCAAATTGATTGGTGGCCTGTCAACTCTTCAACAAGCCGCTAACTACGCATCACGTTGCATAAAACTTCTGGAAAGTTGAGAAGTATTTTTTTTTAATGGTCAAAATAAAGAGGAGATAAAATTGAAAGTGTCATAGGGAATGACATGTTATCTTATTGTACAGAAGACGGAGAAGACAGAAGCAGTTCCCGAAGAATTATTCGATATCCCGAAGGAGACTAGTGACATGATTGTTGGCGGATTTTAAATTCTGATCGTTATTCAAAGGCGGGCTTTGGTCGGTTGTATGTTGATTTATATGGAGGTTGTTTTATCGGATGTATTGGCTTTCTGTCATGCGTTTTCCTTTTGTTGTTTTGATGCTTTGCATAATATATCATAGTAGAAACAGTACATTGTTATTCAGACAAAACGTTTGAAATTATGCGGTGGATTTTATTAAATGTGCTGCCGACGCAAGTTCTAAGAGCTTTAGCTAAGGAAGTGAGTGGCGTGATCAATGAATAATGTATATCTTTTAATTACTTTCATAGGCTCTTGCCCAAGTGGATATTGCAACCCTCCCACCCTTCCAGTGCTGGAGAGGAAGTTAAAGTGATACCAAACCTCAAACATTTTTTACCTTAATGCATTGCTTTAATGTATTCAATTTCCCCGTGGGAAGGGGAAGAGAGGGAAGAAAAGTTCAATGCTGCTCACAGATGTATCACTTCTGCCCTCTCTTCCTCCTCACACAGGGACTCGAACAGCAGCCGGAGCCATTGGCTCTTATTTATTTTATTTATTTATTACAGGTACTTACAGTGGGGCAAAAAAGTATTTAGTCAGCCACCAATTGTGCAAGTTCTCCCACTTATAAAGATGAGAGGCCTGTAATTGGCATCATAGGTAGACCTCAACTATGAGAGACAAAATGAGAAAAAAAATCCAGACAATCACATTGGCTGATTTGGAAAGAATTTATTTGCAAATTATGGTGGAAAATAAGTATTTGGTCAATATGAAAAGTTCATCTCAATACTTTGTTATATATCCTTTGTTGGCAATGACAGAGGTCAGACGTTTCCTGGAAGTCTTCACAAGGTTGGCACACACTGTTGCTGGTATGTTGGCCCATCCTCCATGCAGATCTCCTCTAGAGCAGTGATGTTTTGGGGCTGTCGCTGGGCAATACGGACTTTCAACTCCCTCCAAAGGTTTTCTATGGGGTTGAGATCTGGAGACTGGCTAGGCCACTCCAGGACCTTGAAATGCTTCTTACGAAGCCACTCCTTCATTGCCCGGGCAGTATGTTTGGAATCATTGTCATGTTGGAAGACCCAGCCACGTTTCATCTTCAATGCCCTTGCTGATGGAAGGAGGTTTGCACTCAAAATCTCACGATACATGGCTCCATTCATTCTGTCCTGTACATGGATCAGTTGTCCTAGTCCCTTTGCAGAGAAACAGCCCCAAAGCATGATGTTGCCACCCCCATGCTTCACAGTAGGTATGGTGTTCTTTGGATGCAACTCAGCATTCTCTCTCTTTCTAAACACGACGAGTTGTGTTTCTACCAAACAGTTCTATTTTGGTTTCATCTGACCATATGACATTCTCCCAATCCTCTTCTGGATCATCCAAATGCTCTCTAGCAAACTTCAGACAGGCCCGGACATGTACTGGCTTAAGCAGGGGGACATGTCTGGCACTGCAGGATCTGAGTCCCTGGTGGCGTAGTGTGTTACTGATGGTAGCCTTTGTTACGTTGGTCCCAGCTCTCTGCAGGTCATTCACTAGGTCCCCCCGTGTGGTCCTGGGATTTTTGCTCACCGTTCTTGTGATCATTTTGACCCCACGGGGTGAGATCTTGCGTGGAGCCCCAGATCGAGGGAGATTATCAGTGGTCTTGTATGTCTTCCATTTTCTAATTATTGCTCCCACAGTTGATTTGTTCACACCAAGCTGCTTGCCTATTGCAGATTCAGTCTTCCCAGCCTGGTGCAGGTCTACAATTTTGTTTCTGGTGTCCTTCGACAGTGCTGTGGTCTTAACCATAGTGGAGTTTGGAGTGTGACTGTTTGAGGTTGTGGACAGGTGTCATTTATACTGATAACAAGTTTAAACAGGTGCCATTGATACAGGTAATGAGTGCAGGACGGAGGAGCCTCTTAAAGAAGAAGGTACAGGTCTGTGAGAGCCAGAAATCTTGCTTGTTTGTAGGTGACCAAATACTTATTTTCCACCATAATTTGCAAATAAATTCTTTCCAAATCAGCCAATATGATTGTCTGGAT